TGATTAGCTGGCCCAGTGTGTTGTGATTGGCTAAACCGCCTCTAGCGCGTGTCTAAACCAAGCGGCAACCTCCCGCTCTCTCTCATTGCATTGAACTTTCAGCTTCGTAACTTTGCAGATATTGTTTATGCTCAAACGGCAACATTACACACTAACTAACATTAAAAAAGTGAAATCGCAATCAACCACCCCTTTAAGGCTCAACCTGAAAGATATCACTGTAAAACTCTTCTGAAATAAAACGGTAGAAAATTGTTAGCCAATCAGAATAATAAAGGCCTCATTGACAATGAATTTGTCGCATGATTATGAATGATGACTGACAGATGAATAGTAATTATATTGTCACTTTTATAACTGTCCTGATTACAATTCCTAACAGCCAAGGTTGTTTCAAGTACATGCATGCAATGTGTCCAATGCATGTAATGGGGGCATCTTTTCTTTTGTATATTTTCTGTAAGAACTATTGTTTATTTATCTAAGGCCTATTTTCCATATGTATCACAGGCATAACCTTTTGTTAACCCTGTGATGTATTATGTAAAAGACAAAAAGCTACTAAATAATTCATTCCTAGTTCCTAGCTTTCACGAGGAGCACTGTGAAGGGCTAAACAATGATCTGAAACCATAAGCCTCAAGAAATATTTAAATTTCCCAAGGAAAAAAAAAAATGTTGCAGCACGATATAATGAAAACAGTGATTATCTCTGTGTTCTGCTGATGTGTTCATAACCCTCTGCTGCTGAGTCAGCAAGCCTGTTTACTAACTAGGCCACTTAAATTGGACGCTGCACATGTAATACAGCTGTATCTTTTAGATCAGCATCGCTGCAGAAGTGTTAAAGGATTTAATATGGAGCAAATATTGACCGCTAGAATTGGGAAGGACACTCTTTGATGCGATAATCTGTTTTGTGTGTTACTTAAATGACAGCATTTGTTTGGTTTTTTAATTTATCCTTGATTTCTCCCATGGCCATTGAGCAGACTGCTCTGTGGAAAAGAGCCAGCTGTTGAAGAATCAGATGTCTGCGCAGCTAGATGATCTGTGAAGGAGTGTGTTTAGGGGGGCACAGTGAGGTTTTTACATGAGATTTTAATGGTGGTGAACACTGCAGTGTGTGTTATGTACTATACACTGAATAAAATTAATGCTGAGAAACTTTCAACATATTGCATACATTAAACGATGCAGCATGTCATCATGTTCCTCACAAAACTGTTTTAGTCAACGCCATTTCTGACCATTTTGGCATCATAGGTGAGATCCCCATTGATGCCTTATTGATTAGTTCCAGTCCAAGCATTTATTAAATTGTTTAATTTTCTTAACATTCTAAATTAAATTAACGAAAAGAAAAATATTACATATTGATGCCTTTATGTTGAACAATGAATTTAGTAAATCTTGACAGAATTCTGTGAATGAAACAAAGACTTAATGACATTCCCAGTATGTTATTTAGAGTTACGTTAAAATTTGGGGATATAATACATCTAGAAGGCAATTAATGCATTTAAGGTTAATGATACCATTATTCAAAATATTTCATATGAGAAATGTAAGTATATGACCTTTAGATTATATGTTACAAGAACACTACATTTACATACGTTTATTAATTTAGCAGACGCTTTTGTCCGAAGTGACTTACAAATGAGGAATACAATGAGCAATTTATCATAAAGAGGCAATAAGTGCTATTAATACAATGTTTCCGAAATCGTTCAGAAAAGTAAAAGCTAAAACAGGGAGGAAATAAGAAGAAGTGAAAGCATAGAGGAATTTTTTTTTCTTTTCAGCTGGCATTCCAGACGGGGGTGGGAAGATTATTCAACCAGCAAGGAACAGTGAGTGAAAACGTTCTGGAATGTGATTTTGTGCATCTCTGAGATTGTATCACAAGATGTTGCTCACTTTCTGACCTCAGGCTCGTAAGAGTGAGTAGAAGTAGCGCGAAGCACGCGGCTATTCTGTATGCAAGCATCAATGTCTTGAACTTGATGTGAGCTGTAACCTGTAGCCAGTGCAGTGAGATAAAGAGAGGTGTGATGTGGGCACTCTTGGGCTTGTTGAAGACCAGTCATGCTGATGCGTTCTGGGTCATTTATAGAAGTTTCATTGCATATGATGGAAGTCCAGCCAGAACAGCAATGCAATAGTCTGGCCTAGAAATGAGAAGGGACTAGATGCGAAGTTGCGCCATTATTCATTTTTATCAATACAATACATATTGGGATTTCTGATCAAATTTTTTCTGATAACATTTTAAAAATTCTGTTATTCTTATGCTAATATTCAGTTGCTTAAATATGCTTAACACGTGGTGAATTTGTGCCATGTCATTATGTAAACGGAGGCATTAAGCCTTGGCACCCTCCAGCTGGTGGCGCCCTTGACAACCGCCTACTTATGCCTGGAAACGACCCTGATTTTAGTAACTTAGTTATGTTTGGAATTGGACATTTTTATGTCTTCAGTTCTTCTGTTTGCCAAGGTAGCATTTAATTGATCAAAACTATACCCCTCAAAAGTACTAATAATAAATGATGAATTATTCTGAATTATTATTACTATTTGAAGTAACTGTTTTCTTTATACATTTTAAAATTCTGTGATAGTAAAACCCCATTTTCAGCATCCATTACTCCAGGTTACTAGAAAAACTTTTCACTCTAATCATTCTTATATGCTAATTTGGTTCTGGAGAAACCTTTTTTATTATTAGCACAGTTGAAAATGTGTCTTAATGAAGCGTGCAAATTGCAGTACAATGTGTTTTTTTCAGCTGCTGAAGTATTGTGTTTCTTGCAAGTCACTTTTGCAAGCCAAATTTTGATTTTAAAAATGACTAAAAAGAAACAAGTTTCTTTAGAAACTCATCAGTCTATTGTTCTGTTGAGAGACGAATGCTGTTCTGTACAAAAGAAGAAAGCAATCTTGATCTAACCAGCACAGAAATAAATATGGTCAGCCTAGATGCACAACAAGAGGATGAGTATAAGAATCTGTAGTTTGAAAGTCTCACTGATGCTCAGCTGGAAGCTGCATTGAACAACACACACTAAACACCAGCTTCATCTTCATCAGAGAACATTCTCAGACACTGGCCCTTTAGATGGAGTTTCAAAGAAAAAGCCACATCTGACTCTCGAAGATTAGAATAAAGGGGTAGATGGAAAAATAACTCACTTAAAAAGATTAAAAATATTATAGTATTATGGATTGATGACAAATACACAAAATAATGTTCTTTTTAGCAACATCATATGACCCCTTTAAAGTGCTGTTAGGAACAGTTTGATTGTAAAGTGCTGCTGTGTCACAATAGTACTGTTTTTACTGTATTTTAGATTTTAAGAAATAATAGTAGAAACTTCCTTCAAAAACAATAAAAAAAATCTTACCAACCCTTATGGTAGAATATGTCCAAGATCATGGTATCACCCTGGTATCATATAATTTGGCAAACTCTGATAATTTATCAAAAATAAATGTATATATTCCTGTGACTGCAGTTTCTGAAAGAGAAGTCTGTCACATTGCAGATGTAAGCCAGTATCTGCTCACTGAAACACTTAAAACAATTTCAAGTAGCAGGGAGGAGGCCTTGTTCGACTGCAGAAGTGCTTTTGTGGTCCCACTGTGCCTTTGCTTCTGAGTAAGGGCTACACAGCTTGAGCTCAGTCCAAGTACTTATAAAGTTCAAATACTGGATAAAAGCTATTTTGGTGACCTTGCATACACCTTTGTTTTAAAATTAGGGTATTCATATTTTTCATATTTAAATGAATGTTCAAATATATAGATTGTTATTGATTGTTATTCCCTTATGCATTTTTTTCCAATAATTAAGTGGCTTGCCTAAATCTGAAGAATTCATGCAGCGTGAATAGAGCTGTGTTTTGAATCAATCAAACAACCTTGATAAGGTCTGTCTCTTGGAGATCGATTTTGTGATTGTAAACAAGGTCAGTGTGTGACGTGAATTATGTGTGATAATATATACTAAAATTTAAAACAGAATAAATTATTGATTGTTGTTTTAACGCTGCTGTGCAATACAACGTTTAGTTTGAGGCATGGTGATTTATGGGAGATGTTTTTGTTCAAAGGCATTTGTTACTATAGCTTTCATATACTCATGATGAAGTGAAATAATTCTTGATTCTGTAGATCTGTGGACTGGACTAATAATTGCATGAAAGAGTTCTTAGCTTCTTAGAGACATTTTTTATACTGTACACATTGATGTTTTTTTGTTGTTGTCTTTTTGGTAGTACTATGTTACATAAAAGTAAAGAAAAATTAGCTAACATCAAATTGTGTATTTTGACCAGTCTCACTGCAGAGGCCTTGACCATCTCTACTATGACATTA